CAATGAAGTGGAGAACCCGAGGCATGAACAAAACAACGAAAAGAATGGAACAAAAGCAGGGGACACTCCGTACATACAGATTGTAGCAGCGAGACATAAATAAAGTGAATCCATAAAAATAGCAGAATTGTAAAGATGTGGTTGATAGGGGTCAAGAACGCTCATCAAATCATGACCTGCATCAGAACCGACAGCCTCATTTGCACCTTATCAGGTCAAATAATTTGTTGAAACTGATTCTAATTTTAAAAAAAGATTTAGTTAAATTTTTGAGTTATAATTCAGATGGGTTTGTTTGAAATACTCACATCAGGAGAAATATTTCATTCACACAATAACAGATGATTCATGTAATATCGTTTGTTTTAATTTTAATAAAATATACATTCTGTATTGATTTATTAAATAGAAAAAAATGGGTTAATAATATAGCGTGTTATTTGTAATTAATCTATTTGGGTCAACACATTATTTTAATGAATAATTCATTAGAATTCTGAGGTAATTATAAAAAATGCAATCACACTGTTTAATTTGACATATTGTTAAAAGCAGTGTGGGAAAATATTCACACAAGAATAAATTATTATTTCATTTTGTATACTAATAAAGCAATGAAATTAAATTTTAATTTCAAAAATAAAATTGATTGGATGAATACTGTTTTGCAAATGCAACGATATTTTTTATTAATGTTGGATTTTTTCTCAAATGTCAGAATGATTCATTTCTATATAACAAAGTGATGTCAACAGTTATGTGCACGGAATGCTCAACAAATACGTGACAATCAATTATCAGAACATTAAGCGTAAACAATTTTTTGGGGATAAATAACATCTAGGATCTCAGTTGAACGTGAACTAGTTCTGACATTCAGTCAAACTCGCGCTGTTATCGCAGCGCTCGGGGAAAGCCCGACAAACCACGTGTATATGTTAGGGTGTTCTCAATAATATTGGCAAGTCGCCAAGCGCACAACCCACATCATTAGATAAATTACAGGGCCTTTGGACCTAGTTTGTTTTGACAACTGACGAGCCTGGTTTTGTTTCCTTGTAGAAATATTAAAATAGAATCATATACTATTACATGATAAAAAAATTAATATAACCGATAATATATAATCGCCAATCGCAGAAATATCAACCTACGCTAGTAAACATGGATGATCTTCGACCACGTGCGCCGAGAAAGAATCAAAACAAAACTGACAACTGGATCAGCTGTTTAGAAAAACAAATGAAGAGGAACTATAAAAAGAAACTGTTAACCAACATTATCACCAATTAGTGTGGAGGTTAATTAATTATGCAAATTACCTGACATCACAACAACCTTTCTGCATTAAAACTGTAGTATTTTATTAAAATGATTGATTTTCTTCTTTCCTTTCATTTCAATGAATATAAGTTGAATGACCAAATTTTTAAAATGAAAAAAAAAAAAAAAAAATATTTGTTTACACTATATTTAATTTCACAGTTACATATCTATCATAACGTACCAAAGACGATATAAATAATTCTCTTTTCGCCCAGACCGCGCCCATATTTTAAAACAAAAAATGTCTGCAAAAATATATTTGATATCAGAAACGATCCAGTTTCAACAAAATAATTTACAGATTTCAAGGTCAGTTCATTACTCAGCTGAAAACACCATAGTAAACTACCCATATATATTTTAATGAATTGGGGTCACCCCAGAAAAAACACTGACCTTGGAATATATATGTAGTAGACTGCTTAACAAGATAAATTAAATTTCTTATCAAGGGCACATTTGCAAACAACCCCGATGGCCTCTATATACACATAAATCCCTGATATCACTAAGGATACCTTGTACTGGGGACATTTCCAATACCAAAATAAATACACTCCATCAAATAAAGATATAGAAAATTCCAATTTTATGTTTTATAAAAAAATTTAAATTTCTGTATGGAAACAAATTATTATCAGTAGTTATTGTGGGTTATGATTTTATGAATTTTTTGGAGCAGCTGGTGAACTGAGTTGTAAAAATGACTGACCTAGCCAAACTATGAAGCCATGCACCCACTATCTAGGCACACGTACACACAGCACAAACAATAAATTATCTTCTATCCATGGAACACAAATGCAACCTTGAACGACTTACTTCCCACACATTTGCATCCCTTTTTTTTTTTTTTATTTAAGATAAAAATTACAAACAGTTTTCTTTTAATTGTGCAAGGATTTTTGTTGGCCAAGAGCTGTCAGGCTACAAAGCCTTTGTGCAAAGCTAGCTCCTAATAGTATATCCACTGACCTCTTTGTGAAGCAGCCTCAATGACTACTGACGGTTTTTTTACTACGACATATTGTTATAACAATCTCACCAAATTAGCCAACCAAAGAACCATTTCTATAGACACTAACCTTCTCTTACTTACTCTAGCTGCAAAAATATTATTATAAAGCAGCGGTTATCAATAAAAAATAGAGATATTCACCCGGAGTAAGTACTCACTACAACGGACTGTAATGGTGGAAAAAATATTCAAAACTCACCTCAAATTTGCTTTCAGTGTCAGTTTAAGTTATCGAGATCAGTCCATAATATCCAAACAGCACAATTTAAATATATATGCATTCGACTACGTAACTTTATCGGGGAAAATTCAACCCCCAGCAAGCCGAACGAGAAAAAAAATAGGCTCGCAGCTTCTAGAGAGGCTGCTATTAAGTGAGCCGACAAAAGACACCCAGCGAAGCTTGAACTAATTTGCATAATAGTAAAGGTTGGAAGCTGATTTGAATATGAAATAGTCGAGAGGAGTCACAATGAGGCTACCAATGAATACATGAAACCCAAGCCTAGTAAAACCAGCCAGGCATCAAACCAAGGCCAGGCGTGTTGAATGAAACCAAACCAAACACAGCAAAGCACATTGTAATTAAATACACATGAGTTTAAGTTCAAACTGAATTAAAAGTTTAAAAAAAAAAAAACCATTACTTTATATTCTTCAATGAATTTTTTTTTTCTCTTTTATGAAACATTTTAGTTATAAATTGACTTTTATTTGGCGCATAAAATGATTTAATCACTAAAATAGATGTCATTAACTCTTTGCTTCACAGGCACAAAAAAAAAAATTAATAACAACGACAGAAAAGAGGCATTATTCATGCTAGAATTGGATATAAGCATGTCATTACACAGACTTGGCATACCCCAAAAAATGACAACCGGAAACCAAACAGGTAAACTGACATATTGACAGCAACTACAAATTTCACTCGTCAATAAAAACACAAAAAACTTACCTTCTTTAGTACAGGTCTCTTCATAACTCGTACTGGGTCCAACGGGTTACCGTGCACCTGGAAAAAATAGGAATTATCCATCGCGTGAATATCCGATACATGGAAGAAGTCGCATTTGCGGAAGCCGATCAGTTATGTGACTGACACTGAAACTGAAATTAACAAGTCTGTTTTAGGAGAAGCATTGCATAACGTATGCATCGTTAGTCTTTATCACAAAGGACCTGGGAATGGGATCGTTATGATGTAAAAGCCCACCAAAGCATCAAAGCAGCCTGCCTGGGCAGTCAAAACATCCATTGAAATTTAAATGTTGTATGCCAATGAACAAACCCTATGAAATTGGTGGAATATTCTATTCTGTTTTCAGGGGGTTGATGGTAAAGAAAAATGGGAGAATTTGGAGTTACCAATGAATTACAGAGCAGAAGTAAATCAGTTGTATTAGCAGTAAAATAAAATGTTTTCTCATTCTCCTAGCACCATTTTATATGATGGAAATACATGGAATATTTGCCCTGATAACACTTGAATGTCCCTAATCATTAAATGGAATCTGCCATCCTGCTACAAAAATGCTCAGCAAAATGATCAGCAAGGTCAGTTATGGGTCAGGCAGTCAGACAGTGTAATTCAATACACAGGCTGACCACACAGCTATTTTGTGTGCCTTACTGGTTTCCGCCCAGAATGTACTTTGACCACACTATTCAACTGTTATATAGCAGTGTCTAGTGAAATAACTGAACAACATTACTATTGTAGTTTGGTACAGTACAAGCTAGATGGGGGAACAACACCACTTAGTATGTGTTTGGGTGACACAGTACATGTGTGCGTGTTAGGGAGAGGCACAAGGCACACTACACGCGTGTTTGGGTGACACAGCACAGTAAATGTGTGTTTGGGTAGGGCACATGACAGAGCACTTGTGTGTTCTGGGGAGGGGGACACTGAACAGAACAGTTATGTGTTAAAGGAGGCAAAGGACACACAGTATGTGTGTGTTTAGGTGACAGGGCACGGAGAGACCTATCTGAACCTCATACTAATATAGTGAAACCAGTCTAAACTGAACACCAGTACAGTGAAACCAATCTAAACTGAACACCAGTACAGTAAAACCTGTCTATACTAAACACCAGTACAATGAAACTTGTCTAAACTGAACACCAGTACAATGAAACCTGTCTATTTAAAACCAAACACCAGTACAGTGAAACCTGTCTAAACTGAACACCAGTGCAGTAAAACCTGTCTAAACTGAACACCAGTAAAATAAAATCTGTCTAAACTGAACACCAGTACAGTAAAACCTGTCTAAACTGAACACATGTACAGTGAAACCTGTCTAAACTGAACACTCCTACAGTAAAACCTGTCTAAACTGAACACCAGTAAAGTAAAACCTGTCTAAACTGAACACATGTACAGTGAAACCTGTCTAAACTGAACACTCCTACAGTAAAACCTGTCTAAACTGAACACCAATACAGTAAAACCTGTCTAAATTGAACACCAGTACAGTAAAGCCTGTATAAACTGAACACATGTACAGTGAAACCTGTCTAAACTGAACACCAATACAGTAAAACCTGTCTAAATTGAACACCAGTACAGTAAAACCTGTATAAACTGAACACATGTACAGTAAAACCTGTCTAAACTGAACACTCCTACAGTAAAACCTGTCTAAACTGAACACTCCTACAGTAAATCCTGTCTAAACTGAACACCAATACAGTAAAACCTGTCTAAATTGAACACCAGTACAGTAAAACCTGTATAAACTGAACACCAGTACAGTGCAACTTGTCTAAACTGAACACCAGTACCGTGAAACATGTCTAAACTGAACACCAGTACAGTGAAACCTGTCTAAACTGAACACCAGTACCGTGAAACCTGTCCAAACTGAACACATGTACAGTATAACCTGTCTAAACCAAACACCAATATAGCAAAACCTGTTTAAATTGAACACCAGTACAGTGAAACCTGTATAAACTGAACAGCAGTACAGCGAAACCTGTATAAACTGAATAGCAGTACAGCGAAACCTGTATAAACTGAACAGCAGTACAGTGAAACCTGTACATACCGAATACCAACAGTGTAAACCTGTCTAAAACACCAGTACAGTAAAACAGGTTGAGTACAGTACAGGTTTTATGTTAACACATGATTCAGTATAGATAGTTCAGTTTAGGTGGGCTTTATGTTTGCACAGAGTTTGGTTCAGTTTAGTATGAACTTAACAATACATCAAAAACGTTGATGCCCAATTCATGCTTCTTGGTACAATATTCCCCTACAATATTATGCTATTTTATCAATTTTGGCTTTATTATTTCCTGATTACAGATTAGAAAGATAAAAGAAATCCATCAACAATATGCATTATCATAAGTATAAGGACCTGTTGTTTAGACTCACAGGTCACCCCCCCCCCAAAAAAAAAACCAATTCTTCTATTTGTACAGGACATCTATAAACTGTTTTTGATCATTTTAATTTGTTTCATCATTTTGAAAAAAATAAACCATTAAACCAATAGCATAAATAACCTACCAGCTACAAGTACACTACTTATATCAGACAATGTCATGTTAAAATAATGCACTGTAAATGTAATCATTGTCATGATGATAGTTGTCAGCCAATATGAATAATTGAAAGCCATACAATAATTCAATATCCTGAGTTAGGCCTTGACCAACAGAGCTGTATTGGAACAGTTGTAGATACTAAAGACTGCCCTCACAGGTAGAAATGAAAAAATCTTTTACTTGCTTGTTTATCAACATAGAGGTCAGTATACCAGTGGAGTCACACAAATCATTAGCACAAGCTGATATTAAATTACTTTCCTTCGATTTTAATTTTATATAACAAAATAAAAACATACAAAAGTGCTCTTACCTTCTTCTTCAACTCTGTACATTTTCTTAGTTTACATATTTGATGCCCTGTTCTACGATTACGACAACTTGAGCATTCCCCACAGTTGGTTTTGGTTAGACACGGCTCACACAGACCACATCGCTTACGCTTCTTTTTCTTCAACGCATGTTTCTGTTGGCTCAGTATGGTACCATTTGGACTAATTGCATTGGGTGATGTGTTACCACTAGCATTCTGACTAGCCTCACTTTGAGTTGGTGAAACTGCCTGTCCATCTGAGGTTACAGGTGAACTTTGACCACTGGTTGGAATTTCCAATTTGATGGGCAGAGGTTTCTGTACTAAAACCACCGGCCGAAAATGCTGACCCTCTACCTTGCCCTGCCCTACTGCTACCGCTTTCTTGTCTTCTACATAGTCCACAGGGCGGTAAGAAATCTGAGATGTGCCATCACCATGGCGATCACTTCTCTCATCCTCTTCATTATCGTCTTGCATATTGTTTTGATGCAAGGCATGGTTATCATACTTTTCCATATTATTGTTCCAGGCATAGACTTTCTCTATTGAGCTCACCATTCTACTGTCCGGTTTACCGCTTCTCAAGTCACAGCCATTTATTATTTCATTTTCTTTTCTCTGTTCCTTAAAATCATATGCACGTTGTTTCCCCTCACCTGAGCTACGTTTCCCATAACCATACCCCGACTTGTCCATGTCTGATCCATGGAAACGTTTTGAGTCTCTGTTTCCATTCATATTTTTCTCTTCCAACTGATGTTTCATTTTTTCATGGTCATCCAGTAATGTCTTCCGAATCAAAGCATCGACTATGCTACCAGAAGACATCTTATGTCGATTTGTATCTCCCATTTAAAAGACAGGAACCAAATCTATAAAACAAAACAAAGAATCAATCAATCTCTCATAACAAACAACAGATACAAAAATAAATTTTTACAGAAAAGAGACAATAATACTAGTATCTAAGAATGATATCAGAAAACAGGCTAAATCTGACATAAATTGAAATAGCGCCCCCTATAGTCGAAATTGAGAATTATTCCAGGAATAAAACATTGGTGCTTTGCCAAATGCACCAGCTGCGTTCAACTTGGAATAAAAGTAATACGAACAAACAGGTTACATATTGAAATGTCTTTCAGAATAAACAAGACTGGAGAAAGTAACAACATATTTGGCATCATGTTGAACTGGAGATTGTGGACCAGCAAATGTAAGAAGTAAACCATAGAAAAATAGTGAACATATCTATTTTCTATCGAGATAACAGGAGCAATTTGTAATTCCTGATGAAAATGCAGTACTGGAAAAACTGAAGAAACTTTTCAGAAAGTGATAAAAAAATTTTACCCTATGGTATCCATGACAATAAATAGTTTTTCCTATAATTAAAGCATTTTCTTTTTTGTAGAGTAGGCAACTTTTTCACAAAAATATTTATGAATTTTTATTTTAATATCCAGTCATTTCAAAATTGTTTCCTACTGAAAAACAAAAACGAAAACTAATATAGAAATATAAGAAAACTAAGGAAAAATATATGACTAATATTTGGAGCTATACTGGCCATCAATAGAATATGGACTGTTAACACTATTGCTTTCAAGGTTTGATCTGTACTTAGATAAAAAAAAAAAATTTAAGATGACTGAAGTTGTCAATCATGGATTACATTAACAGTTTATAAAGAATAAAAATTAACCACATCCCCATGAATAATAATACCAGCTTAATAAGTCTTTAATTAAGTAATCTTTTAACAAGGCTAGACAATGGCATTTCAATACCACATTATAGTGCTGCTTAACATTATCATTGGTCAATGTAATGTATAGCCTAGTTAGAAATTCATTAATACTTTGGAATCATAGCTAGTTCATTTCTATTGCCTTGTCAATTCCAACAGCGAAAACAAACCAATTCCAATAATTCATACTCCAGAATTAAACTATATTACAATTGTAGTATTATTATTTTTACATCAAGCTAACATACTGCAAAACTCAAGTGAACCTTAAAAATACATTTAATCAAGTGAAAAAGCTGGGATCAGTGTAAATGTTCATTTCGACTGAAAAAAGTTGAAGCCGCTTATTTGTATAAGCTCTCTAAAACTCAGCCATGCACATCAAAATATTGTTTTTTTAAAAAGTGAGCAGACATTTTTTTTTTATCAACAAAACTATTAAATTCTTGCAAAAAAATAGTTAGGAAGGAAATGATCAACCTGAAGGTGTAGCTTTATGAATGAATCAAGTCGATTTGGGGGTACCGGCTGTCCCTTACTGGCAGACCACACACTACAACACCACAGCATTAGACTAAACAATAGGTGGAAATAACATGAATCTGATAACACAAGCTATTATGAAGGCCATCTGAGCAGGCCCTGAGATTTGCAATACATAAAAACAAGGCAACTGAAACCAGCTGCAGTTGAATAACACTAGCCACCAAGTGGGATTGACGCTCACATGTACAGTTTTGAGATGTCTATCTCAACGTCATTTGCATACTGGTAATTGTCACTTATTCAAATTCTACTCCAGTAACGACCCAAACAAGCCACATTTGAATCAGCAAGCTGAATGGCCCCATTCAGTGAGTGTCATTGTAATGCACGCAACTGTCGGCTTTTAGTACACACTGACACGGCGTCGTTTTTGTTTTCTTTCTTCTTTTTTTTGCGCTAGGCATCAGAGCAGTCAGCCAAGCGTCAAGACCTCAAGTCACCCCATAAATATTAACATCGTGGCCTTCATGACTTCACTTTTAACGAAGCCACGCAATTCTTATCGAAGACAAGGGAAACGCAAATACGGGCAATTTTTAACGAAATATTACGGTATCAGCTGGGAATTTCAACATCCCAGAACGTTCGGATAATTAAGGTAGCCGTGAGCACAGGGCGTCGATTACACATTTAAATCCACAGGGACACGACCACCACTCGCACGCACGCACTGATGGCCTATCTTATTGATTCATTTTTACGACGTCATCGCCATAAATTGATCTATTTTACCGTCAATAGGTCTCGAAACAGGCACGCCTGAGCTAAAATTTCAGCCAATTTAAGTCGGAAATGCGAGCAACTGACAGGCGCTGTGTCGTTAAATGCGTTGCAAATGGGACTGGCAATTGCAAATAGGCTGGCGGCTCATTACTAGCGTTTTTGAGGCAGGGCAATCTGCACTATTGTTGTGGACTCACTCAAGCTATTTACGCCGCTAACTGCATTTGGAATGCGGGCGTTTGTCTCTGCCGCCGTCTGAAATAAAAGCTTGAAAAAACAACCGTTAACACGTTGTATATATTAAATGTAATCCTGGCCCGGTTTCCGGCCTCAGCCTAACAACATCACGTTCGCCAACAATTCCATCAACACCACGTCACGTTTTTTAGTATTAAAAAGACGCAAACACAAAGAAAAATTATTCGCAATTTTGACATTGCTTAAAAAAATCAACGCCAAAAAAAAAAATAACAATCATACATTTGTGAATGCAGCGCAATTCTATGAACGTAAGAAAGAATACGTTTTCAATAGTTTTGAAAGTACGGAAATTGTTAATGTTATGATCGCCAGCATGTCGAGTCACATCATCAGAGATAGCCGGCCGGCCGGCCAAACAGCGGCTCTTGTGAATTTCCATTTAGCGTAGATCAATAAATGCAACGCGACTCACGAGTGTGGGAAAACAACAGTAGGAAATTTACTGAACGCCTTTTGTGAGTGATACACTACGAGTTTTACGTCGCGGCTATTTTGTTCAGATCAATGGGTTTGTATGAATAGAGGGGCTAACTGTACGGTTTATGCAAAATAGCAGACCAGCCAGTCATCCAGACGGGTAGAAAGAGTCGTGGTAGAGCTTGGCACGCCACGCACCGGAAGGTGCCAAACACTGTAAACAACTACCGTTCTTTGAAAAAAAACAATTACGTGAAAATTGTGGGCGATCGGGAAGAAAAAACAATGGAAAAGCAAATTTGAGTAAATGGTTAATGGATTTCAAAGTGAAAAATGATCAGATAAATATGTTTTGGGTGTGAAAATCGGGCATAAAAGACGCAATTTTTGAAAAGAACAACGTTAGTGTGTATGTATGAATGGGGGAGTAATGACCGATCCACGCTCCGTAACAGTCGTTTCGCTACGAAGTGGTGAAACTAGAAATCGGATCGACAATCTAACGAAAGAGGAACGGATTTGACAATCAGATAGTTGAACAGTAACGTACCTGTCGAAGAAATCTGCCATAAACCGCAAGAAGGGATAGTTTTGATGCGAAAAATGACGCACTCCCTGCTCGCCTGCGTGAAGCCAGTCAGCCAGACACGCTTGTATGCAAATAGCTTCCCGCTCAAATAAACCGAACTCATTATGTAAAATGTGCCCTGATTGGTCAATTCATTGAAGTGGCTGTATGTATAGTAAGCTGATCCTCACGCACGTATGCACTCACACCATCACTTCACACGACGCCAACGTCCACTAAGCCGTCTCAAATTACAACGTCGAGAGGTTTTCCGCAAATGAAACGCCGACAAAAAGTAGGCCTCTCTCAATCGCAATTAATTTTTACAACCGACACGCATTCCCCAGAGATGACAGTCAGATCAGCGGCTGGATCTCTCTTTGGGGGATTCTGTGATGGGGAGGGAAAGTCGGCCGCACGGAAAGAAACTATTTTTCACGCACTATGCCATGCGAGACATCTGCGAGTAACAGACGAGCACGCAAACATCCCCGAAGGCGGAAGATTAAATATTAATAGGGAATTCGGCATCTGGGCAGTTTTTTGACATTAACAATTTACGAAACTACGCAGAAACTACTATCCCCTGTGTTTTGTAATGTTACATATATAATATCGATCGCACATATTAATATAATTAATAGGCACATGCCAGACTTTTCATATACATTGGCACATATTCCTTTCCCGTTAAAGCTAAATTATTATATTACGATTTAAAATGAAATATAAGTTTGAATATACGTTGTATATAAACATAGTTGTACTTTATAAGGATGATTTTTAAGATGGAGCCTGGCGCCGCGATCGTCCTATCTCGTCACCTAATGTCATGTTTGTTACGCATAACAAGCAAAAATGTGGGCGATCGGGACGAATCAGAGTATGTGCCCTCAGGCTGAAAAGCGCGGAGACATCCGGGGTATTAATATTGTACATATCAACTAAGACACGCCGACACTTCACTGACGGCGAGGTAAAACCCAGATAAGGTAAGATACGGTTTAACGGAGATAAGGCAACACGACGTGTACGCGTCATATCGCACGATTCGACCACAAAGTCTGACAGCTCAAAAAAAGCTTGCACGATAACAGATGAAGTATCCCTATCTGGAGCGGTGCGAATATATTATTTTACTAGCAGTTTATTATGGCGTTGCGTTGTTTTTAAGAGAATGAGTGACACAAAATAAAAAATAAACGCCGTACGCGTTCAACGAATCATGCATCCATGTGGTGATTACAAGAAACATTAGACAGTCAGTGAATGTTGAGGTTGGAAAATAGGGTTCTACTGTCTGTGTGGGCGGTGGGGTCACGTTTTCCGTAACATCAATACTTCGTTTTACGTGTATTAGCTAGTGGATAAGAGGGAGTTCATCATTTGAACTATGTACACTACACACGATTCGCCGTCACATTGAGCTGCGAAATACACAAAGCGTTGGTGTGTTTATCCAACCACAGTCCCTCAACTCAGACGAGATTGGAACGTTCAGCCCTCACCACAACGCACCCTTTGAAACGAGCCGAGCAAACAAATTATTACAATGGAGGGAGCCTTGATAGGCTTTGTACGAGACACAGACGGTGGTTCGCCAAACGTTTAAAACATGCGTCCTGGTTGCCCACGGTGAATGACCTCTTGACCTTAAACGCGCGTAACTGCAATACATGAGTGCGGAGGGAATCACGATTAGAGCGATATTAACACACGGTGTCACGTACGTAGTATGCAAATGAGCAGAAATGCCAAACACCACATGATATACAGAGTGCGTGGTACAGCAAGCAAAGGGAATATTACTATGCTGGCTTTGATGTTTACTGAAGCGAAATGAACTACTGGGTTAGTCCCCGGGGCTGGTTATAAGCGCACGCATTGTTCTCTAAACAGATGCGTGCGATATTTCCAAATAGGGCGTACACCGGATATGATAGAACCATATACGTAGCGGCGTCGATTCAAGCAAACAAACCTGTATTATAAACTCGTGCTACAAGATTATGAAACAGATGACGGTTAAAAACTGCCTTTACTTTACGCTCCCAAACGATGAGCGAGGTGGTTGATGTTTCCTCCGTGACCACTGTCCTTCAACTCGAATCAAAGACAAACATCCGACGTTATTCTCGCTTAGTTTTGACCGTTTACCGTCTTTCGCTTATATAATGGGTAAACAAACAACTATTCCCTCGTTTAAATGATGTGTGGTCGAATTACAAAAGCTGTGAATTGTTGTTCGGTTGAAAGTCAAAGCATTTTAAAGTTGAATAAAGGAGTTTTAGAGGAATGAATAAATGGCCCGACCCGAAATATCACCGTCAAACGTTCATGCCAGAGAATAGAGGTATTATGATCCCATTCTACACAGACGTTATGATTGTTCGTATTAATGTCGTTCGTTATGGTAGGTTTTAGCATAGACCTTAGAAAATGTTTTCTAAGGTCTATGTTTTTAGTAGCATAGACAACACCCTGCTATAAATACGATTTCACGAACATCACAGTACCCGACATTTTCATTTCATCACGAAATGAAAATAAGTGACACGTTACACTCCATCCTGTTTCCATGGAAATAGAATATCTATGACGCAATGCAATCTATTTTATAGTTTGTGGGGCGCAACATTATGGCGCGTATTTATACGTTAGTTTCCGTGGGTAGCCGAGGGCACTGCTAGTTGATCATGCGAATCGAGATACGCAGAGCTATTACCGCTCTACGTTGCTTTTTCTTTTGTGTCGTCGCGTCTTTTCTTGATCGTATCCCGCAGCCTGTCCCATTAACTATTCATTGCACGTAGTCAGGAAATGACGGTTCCGTAGTTGAGTACTTTTCTAATATTTTATACTAAACCCCCAATCACCTGTGCCAAGCTTTGCCACGCGGCTTCAAAGTAGTTCGATGACACCGCGCGGCGTAATACTCATGACACACGCAATTCGAGTCCCCCAAGCCTCGGCACTTCGGGTGCATGGTTCCGTACGCAGTTGTCACCCGGCAGTTACATACATATATACCCGGCATATACATCGATGCCTCCCCGGGCACATTGCGTCGTCTGAATATGCGTTAAAAAGTATTCTCGTTGTGGTTGCATAGAATTCGGCCAGAGCACAGTCCCTGTGGCCAGCAAAGCTTATCGGAAATAAAATCTAAATTACGCAGACTGGTTTTCGCAACATTAGGCCCATTTGCACCATGGCCATGAATAACAACCCGTTTCTGTTTCTGATTGCGCTCCTAATTGCTTCGCTGATGGGTGACACGATCCAAAAAAATTACACGGAGAATTAGCGGAAGAGATGAGACCCTCATTTAAGTACGCTCATTTGCGCGGTGATACAAGTAAGTTAAGGGGTACTGTGAAAATAGACGCTTTTGAATTGAATGAACTGACACTTTTGCACTCCTTAGTGTTATATCAACCAGCAGTATATACACGGAATACTTAATGCTATTTGTGTTCAGCGTCACAATTGGAAATTGAGCTAGTTTTCTACCAATATTCCGAATTATTGCCGTTTTTGTCGCGTCATTTAACACATTAATACATCTGATAGTCAACATTAATGATATCAAGCCAACGTGCATGAACAATTTCGCTTTCATCGAAGTTCTAGCGAGAATTATTTCACTAGATTTAGACTGAATTAATCGTTATAGATCACTTCCCACGCAACTTTCACTCAGACTATAATGACTGTTTACGTTTCGTCAGCTGAGATCCACGCCACGGCCCCTTTCTCTGATCGCATTTACGCAATGTAAATCGTATCTCAGCCACGTGGTACCGTACTTGGCATGTTCTATAATACGTCCGATCGCCTCCAGTGATGGGGACGCTTTCATATAGTCACACTACGTCGCATTACGCCGATAACGACAAAGGTCGGACGACGTCGCAGTGTGCCCAGTGTACTTTAGAACCTAAAATCGTCTTCGTACCTCGATTGACTTACCTCAACTGTGCACTTACACAATGACGTCGTTGTTGCATTGAATTATGGGGGACATTGTATGAGTAATGGGGGCTGCATGGCCCAGTCCGACTCTCTAAATTCACCTTTCTTATACTAAAGATCCTTCTTCATGTTCCGAGTAATTCAAATGTTTCATTTTCTTTCTTTTTATCAATTTTATGGTTTTCAGGATTGGGTAATTACAAAAGTGACTTGGAGTTGAACTGAGCGGCGCCCAGGCCCAAGTCAAGATACACGCTAGAACAATAAGGTTATACCATAGACCCTCTAAAAGAAGGTCTATGGTTATACTGTTTATTAAAATCTTCGACATATTTGATGAATCGCACAGTGAATATCTACACAGAGACATCTTTGACGACACTGACCGGAGCCGCCTAGTCGGACTTTATGTATTATCTCAGGGGCCCGTGTACGCGAGCATGCACCTACAAACACACGATGTGAGGCAGTTGGGTTTGTTTGGATAACACACGCCGATCAGTAATGTACACACATACACGTGACCCATCGGCATTCTGAAATGTGCGTCGAACGATTGGATAATAAATAATACGTCGACTGTCTACTGCGACGGAGAGATAGACCTCATCCGTATCACGTTCCGAAACACGCACGATAATTGACATTACTTCAAACCCGGATGTATTACAGCACGATCCATTCGATGTCGGGCCAGGGTTAGAGATCTCATGCATTCAACACCATTAAGCCCCCTCGATGAACGTGCTTAACTCAACATAGGTGTCAATCAACTAGATTCGTATTACTAGAATATATAGTGGCCATAGGCTATATAAGAACGTCAATGACAAAACTAGTAGTAATTAATATACAATTTTTGAATACATGATTAGCTATTAATAATAGAATTAAATTGTGGAGAATATTTCAACTTCGTATACGGTTATCTCAGTTTACCTGGTTCGTATTTCAGGGTCTTGAACAATTCGACGCCACACCACACCATGATCGTTGCTTGATAATGCCATGCAAGCATTTCGCCTACGGCGCCTCGAATGAATATGTGAGTCTTTCGTCAATGGCACTCTTTCACGTTCTAACATGTGTCTCGCGTTACC